TCTCCCCGGACAGTGATTGCTATAGCTTTTCTTTCTTGGCGGGTGCCATTTGGTCCGCCTTTCTCTTTTTACCGGCTGCCCTCGGAGCCGGTGCTTGCTGATCACAGTCGTCAAGTGCTACAACTTCCTCTCCCTGACCGTCTGCGATCATTGTTGGTTTGATGTCTGAGAGGTAACACTCTCTCGCCGTCTTTTGGTCCCCACTCAAGGAACCGACTGTGCCATCATCCTTCTCAAATTTTATTAACATGAGAGACAGTATGATGATTGCTTTCGAAACATTAAGGGTTGGACGTCCCAAGATCAAATTGTAGACCGTCAGTTCCTCAACAACAAGGAATTTGACGACCATGTGCCGTCCGCTCCCCTTTTTACCCAGCCGGATGGGTAGGTCAACCCTACGAACCGGATGTACTACTCCTCCCCCAAAACCAACTAAAGGGTGAGAAGCTTGATGCATGCTGCCAGGCTTGTACTTGAGTTTTGTCAAGCACTGATAGCTTATGAGATCAGACGAGCTCTCAGTATCTATGAGGATCCGGCCTACTCGCTGATTAGCTATCTTACATTCAATGACTATGGGATCATCATGAGGCCGCCTGACTTGGCCCCGATCTTTTTAAGAGATGAGAACCTCTGGGAAGGTGTTTTTAGACGACTGGTCCTCATCAACTGAGTTAACCAGCCTTCTAATATTGTCCTTGGCTCCCCGGATGGTAGGGCCCCCACTAGCGAAACCTCCTGCTATGGTGAAGATTATTTCCTCATCCGTGTCAGAATGGCCAGCCGGCGTTTTTTACGGCTGTCCTTTGATCTGCCTGGGGGTATCCTTGGACTTGGGTATGTAAGATTTCAGTGCCCCCTCATCAGCCAAGCGGTCAAACAACCGCTTGAGGCTGAAGCAACCTTCCGTATCATGACCAACATCCTCATGAAAGTGGCAGTATTTGCTTTTGTCCCGGTTGCTGACGAGACTCTTCATTGCTGCCGGCTTCTCAAGTTTCAACCGGTCTCTTACTTCCTTTAGAATGGAGGTGCAGTCCTTTGTAAATTCATACTTCGGAACGTATGGGTCTGATCTCCTTCCTTTTTTCTGGGACGACTGTCCAGCAGGTTTCGCCGCCCATACTTATTTCCTTTTCCTTTCTTCCTTCTTTGCCGGCTGAGTAGGCCGGCTCTCTCTCTTATCAACTTTCTTGTACTCTGATGGAATTTTTACAGCACAAAGTTCCATCGCCTGTATATAGGCCTCAGCTTCCATCAAGGCCTCGTGGAGAGTGGAAACCCTCTTTCTGACCAAATCAAACTTAAAAGTAGACCCGTCTTTCAGACCCTTGAAGAAGTTTGTGTAGGCAACATCATCAGACAGTCCCTGAATCTGGATTCTCATCAGATTGAACCGCCTGACGTAAGACCTTAGTCCTTCCTTCTCTCTCTGCTGTATTGCCCCTAAATCAAGGGTTGTCTTTTTAGCAGGAATGTTCATGGAAAAGTTTGAAGCGAACCAGTAAGCCAACGTTCTAAAATTGTTGATACATCTGGCTGGCAAATTGCCAAACCACCGCTAAGCAATGCCCTTCAAAGTAGCCGGGAAGCATCTGCACCAGGAGGCATCCTCCAAACCCTGCAAATACATCAGGTTGGTGTAAGCCATGAGGTGATCTTCCGGATTGGTGGTACCATCATAATCACCAACCAATACATTTTTTATTTTGGCAGGCTGTGCCGCCTCAGTTATATCCTTCGAGAACGTCGTGGGCTGTTCCCCAAGGTTTAGCAGGCGGAGTTGCCAGTCCATAGGCTGGACATGTGACAGCTGAACCCCAAAGAGGGTCGGCTACTTGTAGGGACATCCATACGGCATGTATAGTGACCCATACGGTGCCGGATGGATGATATTTAGGCCAGAACGCACGAAAACCTCGCGTGACTGACTTTCTCTGTTTGTCTCAGAATGCTGCATGGATGCATTCTGGAAACTGTCCGGGTAGGTCGACATAGAGGCCGACGCGGACATGTGGTGACTTCTCTTTTCTTGGATTAAAGTTCAAGCGTCAGAGTAAGTCTTTTTTGATCCATCCGGTTGTATATGCCGGATGGGCTTCTTTATTCCCTCTGCAGGGAAACGAAGTTTCAAAATGTTGATGATCCTATCCGTCACCTTTGTCTTTGGGTGAGGCGTAGGCATGCGGTCTTTCAACGACTTGGACGTTTTCTTTCCGGAACGAAGTTTTTCCTCCGCCTGACCCTTACGAGGGTTGGTTGACTTAAGGAGGTTTTTGATCTCCCCTTTGAAACTCGTCATGAGGTTCAGGAGTTCGTCTCTTGAGACAGGGGCAACTCCTTCCGCCGCCTGGGTTAACCCAGCCGCTCTTCTGGTCGGGCTGCTAGGAGCAGCCTCAGCCTCACCTCGTTCCTTCCTTTCTTTGGAACGGGTGCGCTTTGTTCTAAAAGACCCGTCTAGGGCAGTATAAATTTGAACTTCATAATTGTCACAGGTGTCTTCGTCCAAATGGACCTCGGGTTTGCGGGAGGCTGCTTACTCCCACCAGGTAGTACAGGCTCAGAAGTCATCTAGGAAGTACTCTCCCCACAGACGGCGCCAGATGTTTCAGGGTTTTTTGATGTGTCCTGCAGGAGAGTTACAATTCCTAGTATGCGCAGTTCGACGTCTATACCTGCAAAATCACGGAGACTCCGGCTGGGGGGTGGAGTTCCGCCTCCGACGATTAAGTTAAAATTCGTCTAATGTAATAAGTGCGAAACAGTAAATACTTCTCGCTGATTGGGAGAATTCTGCAATTATCTATTGCTCGGGGTTTGTGTTTCAATTTGTGTATATGCAATAAATGTGGTCTCCCCCACGGGGAACTTTATTTTCCAGTTTTAGGGTTCAATGGACATGTGTCGCAAAGGGATTGAAGCCTTTGCTGACCACTAAGGGGATGACACGTGTCAGGGGCCTATTGGGCCACGTGTCTAGGGTAATTTTTACCCTAAACAACATTAACAAAGTTTATCATTTTCAATGAAATAATTATCAACACTTTAAATTTAGCATTTTTTTTAATCCTATATAATTTATTTAATGGCAATCCCACACAAATAAACATACAATTTTATGAGAATATTATCCCAAATACCAACAACTTGCGTATTTCAGAAGTTGAACATCAAGAAATTCTTGAATGCGATGAACGGTGACCATAACTAAGGAGGCCAATCAATAACCAATTTAATGAGAATACTCTGTATTATCCTTCATTGAAAAGATATATTTTTTTGCTTGTGCCCTTAGTGGCCTTATATGTGAATACCTTATAAGCTTGACATAAAAAATGAGGTATAAACCATATAATGAAAAAAACTTGAATTAAACAAATACATATAACTTTTTTTGACTATGTGCCATATAAACAAAGTCATTATTGCAACCAATGAAAAACGACATATATATTCTATTTTAGAATTAAAAAAATTCAATAAAGTCAATTGTTATACAATAGTAATTTTATCAAAATATGAAGTATATGATTTAACTAAGAAAATTATCTTTTTTGAGATTGACCAATAAAGTTACATTATAAGTTACTTAATGATAATAATTTTTTTTTCTAATAGACAGTATTAATTTAATTAAAATATTATATGGTTTACCCAACAAAATTTCTTTATTAGATTTGTGTATAAAAAAAACCATACAAAAAAACTGTGCATCGCACGGGCTTACATCTAATAATAATAATAATTAATAATAATAATAAATAAATAAATAAATAAATAATATGATAGTATTAAAATTTGAAAAATAAAATAATCAAAATTACTTTACATCAAATTAGAAAAAATAATTTTAGATCAAATAAAAAGAAAAAGTTCTGAATCAGATAAAAAAAAAAGGTTCAAATCAGATCAGATTTGAAATAATAAGTTCTTATCAGATCATCTTAGAAAAAATAAGTTCAGTTCAGATCAGCTAATATAAGGTGAACTAAACAAGGCCTTATATGCAGGGCAAAATATAGTCAAGTGGGATCGCGTGTTAGATTAGTCTCAATTTATATTTTCACAAAAATCTATTATTTTTAATAATTTTTATGTATAAGCTTCATCCATTTTCCTAAGTGTTATTCACTTGCTACTTTTATTCGTTTTTCTAAGTTTTACTCACTTTTACTTTATTCATAGTATAATAAACTTTTATTCATTTTTATCACATACAAACTCACATTGTGGGGCATGATTATATCTAATAAAACCTATAATCTCTATCTCTCTCCTCGTTAAAACAAAAGTACCCATATTTATGGTTCCCTTTTCCATTTTTTTGGGTTTGCAATCTTTCCATAGTTACAATAACTAAGACTTAGGAAAACAGAGGTTGTGTATAATTACAGATACGGGGGATTAAAATTATGCGCCGGAAAACGTAAAAGTTAAAGTGTTGCAACTTAAAGTGAACGAACGGAGAAAGTATAATAGCATATATTACTTTATTTTACAGCATTATAGGAAAAATCAAATATAATTATTATATTAACAATGTCTGATAATAAAAAAATTACGTAAGTACGAAGCAAATCATAGAGCGATATTTATCAACTTCACATTGATCCGTTTGTCTTATTGATAGTAAATATATAGATTGTGGTCGAACCGGCGCCAAACCTGTTTAGCCACAGGTTGGACTGGTTTTGGCCGCCGGTTGTGTAGGCTGCCCAAATGAAAAACCACCACCTCCCCCGTTGGTGATCAGGTGGTGGTGGGTCGCCAATGGGAGATTATTAGCATGGTGGGTCGCTGGTAAAGGAGAGGTAGTGGGTCGCAAGTAAGAAGGGGTTTGTGGATCGCAGGTTAAAGGAATGTAGTAAGGACATGACCATGTTGGTGTTAATGATGAAAAATGTTGGCCATGTTTAAGAACCCAAATACGTAGTATAAAAATTGCTTTGTTTTTATATTGGTGGCATGAAATATAACGGTCTAATTTAGAAGTTTCACACATCACACCCACTCTACAGTCTCTTTCATAGGCTTCCCATCCCTTTATTCGTCCACAACAACTTTAAACCGCCTATATTCAACTTCAAAATTTTCATCTGCCTTTCTCTCTCATCTACTACTCTTCGCTTCACTGAAAACTCCTGTTCAAATTTGCGCCGAATTCTAGGTCATTTTCTACTTCCGAGTTCTCAATCATTGTTCGATCTACAAATCAATCGAAAATGGAGGTTCTCGAAACGCCTCAAATTGATGCTGAAACTGATGCTTTCTCTCTCATCGACGTTTCCGCTTCCGATGATGATTTTCTTTTGGCTTCTTCCTCAGGTAATTTTCGATTTTATTTCGATCTTAATTGTCGATGATTTACAGCTGTTTTTGCATTCTTTTGTGAAATTCAGCTTAATTTTTGTCAATTTGTTTGGTAGTAGTTTAAATTCAGAATCTCTTTTTATTTATTTTTTTTTAAAAAAAAATTAATTTTAATTTACCCTAATTGCTGATTATATGCTGTGAAAATAGATTGGTGTGTATAGAGTGGATATAAACATTCTTTGGTTAAGTACATTAGTAGCAAGCATGTGCTATGATAGCTTTAAGAAGTTATTTTGAATTTTCATTGTTAAATGGAAATTCCAATTTTTGTAATAGCAGCAACAATTTACTGGGCCATTCGTCGGGAAGACGGGAACCCACCAAATCATGTACGAAACGGCAGTTTGAAAATTGTGAGAAATGGCCTGTTCTAGTGTACTGCTCAAGTAGCTCTACTGCGTTTGATTCTTATGCTGCCAATATATTGAAGAATATAATTTTTTGATGAATACTTACAAAGTTATCACATATTATGTATATTCTTAGATGGTCTTATAAATCATGTTACATATTGTCATATTCGTTTGTAATGGCGGTTTATGATTGGTCTTACTATCACGACCTTACTAAAATCAAGTAAATGGGAGGATATGAGATGGGTTTCATTACTACCACGGTACTTTTAGCTCACTTCCTTTAATTCTATGATATTTAACGTTTACGTTTCTCTATAAACATTTTTACTTATTTCCAAGTGTAAAATTCCATACAGAACTCATGTGCTACCAACATAAATTGCTTTGTTGATTACTGTAATTGTGGTCAGATGAGTTTATGTTGATTTTTGAATACTTTATGACAAGCATAATTTTGAACCTGAAAAAGCCATGGTTTCCTTGTAATTTTTACGGAAATATTAACCAAAAGAATTGTACTTATCATAAAATTAATTTTGATGGAATCAGTATTGTAGCTAATTTCTGTAATGTATTTCTACTAATGTAGGGTGATACTAGTCCTTAAAGATGTGTATGTGTGTGTGTGTGCACAATGATTCCAAAGAATTATTTTTATAGGCTTCCTAATGATAACTTTTCCGAAAATTGATTTCTACTATAAAGTTTTGAATTTTTGTTTAGAAAGTCTTAGTGTTCTCTTCCAATTGTGTCCTACATGAGCATAACGATACATGTGTGCTTGGTGTTGCATATATTTAGAAGTATTCTTGTTTGATGATGCACAGAACCCAGCATAGCGGACAATGCAGACCATATTTTTACTGAAGGAGCACCTACAGACCAACCATCTGATTCCTTGGTTTTACATAAACCTGGGAAAACTGGCAAATGTAACCTGCGCAAAAGTTTGGCTTGGGATAGTGCATTTTTTACCAATGCTGGTATTTGCTTTTGTTTTGTACTATATTGAGTGTTATTCCTTAATCCTATGGTTTCTGTCCTGCATTGAGATGATCTATTACTCTCTGTCTACTTTAAACAGGAGTTCTTGATCCCGAGGAGTTGTCTAGCATAATGGAGGGGTCTGAGACGGGTGTGAAGCAAAGCCCGTTTCTACCTGGTATCCAAGAGGAATTAAGCAAGTCAACTGATTCAATCTCCACTTTTCAGAGTGATAATGTGACGCTGGAAAGTCTTGAGGCTGATCTTTTCTGCGATATAAGAGCTTCAATTCAGAGATGCAGCAAGTCTTCGACTAAAGAAAGTAGTGGTGACGTTAAAATCCATGGAGAAGAACCCAAAAATGATTGTTGTAAGTAACATGATGTGCTCTTTCTAGCATGCATTATTAACATTAAGATTTTGCTGAAAGCCAGCAATTCAATTTGAGTTTGATTGCATTTGTGCTAGAATCATTTTCCTTACTTCATCTGACATATTGGAGTTGTGGTTGGGTGGCATTGTAGTTTTAGTTGCCTTTTCATATATCTCAATTTAGGATAAACATATCAAGGTTTTTGTTTTTTAACTAATATTAAGTCACGTTCAGCCTTGTTTCGTAATGTGCAACTAGACTACTAGAGCGATGGAAAAGCTTTAGAGAAGAAACTGCAAGGTTAGAATCTCTTTGTTTCTTGGCTGATAGGATTTAATCCAACGTTAGAATAGGATAGAATTTATAATTCTCCAATAAAGTTATATATTATTGATATGAAGTTATGAACTCTAATTTGGGATATTCATTTGTGTGGGACTGTGAAAGTACTCGATTATGTTCTTGACTTCTTGTTGTAGTTCCCTGAAGAGTGCTTAATGAAGATAAAGTTTCAATTGCATGTAATCTGTTAAGAGTCCTGAAGTATCAGAGTTTACTTGTTTTGTTATTCATTCCATGGATACCAAGGTGGCTAACTGGGCTGATGGGCTCTAATCATGTCTAAAAGAATAAACATCTTTAACCTTCCATTTCATCTGTAATATCAATAGTGTTTGGTTTTGTTCTGCCAGAACTCTAATATTGAAGACCGTCATGTGCAAACTGTCCGTTTCAGTGCCAGGATCCTCTTTGGTTACTAATTCTGTTTTTTTGTTTTTTCCCAGCAACAAAGATACCTGAACCTTCACGCAAATTGGTAAGCTGATCTGACAAGGCATTTTTAGAGTTTGATTATTTTGGTGGCACTCAGATTAGTTGTGTTCTGATTCTTGTAGGCAAAGCCCAAAACAGCCTCCAATAAACTTAATATGGCAGCACGTGGGCCTATGAGAACATTAAAGCCAGGTTCTGTTTGCAAACAAGAGATTAAGGCATGTAAATCCCTTGCTGTACTACCATCCATATATGTGCATATCTTCACTTTATGTATGTTTTTAGCTGCATTTTAATTTAAACAATTTATTGCATACATTGTGATAATCTGGAACATGACCTGTCTTACAGTTCCTTCACAATTCTGGACAGAGCTGTCTATTACTCCCTTCGTCCCCTAAAATATTTACATTTTGAGTTTTTACGCGGAGGATTAATACACTTTATGAAGTTTTCTGCATATGTGAATAAATATTTTCAGACATTTGTTTTAGGAACTTCTGTGCTTCCTTTGTTTTTTATGTGCAACTCATAGGTATTGCACATATATTATTGGGGTGGAGGGAGTATTTTCTAATTTTTAAAACTATTGTTAAGCTTTGACTACAGTGATATCACTATATTGGAAATGTACTTTGTGCTTACAACAACGTAGTTGGACTGACCACATTTTGTTTTCTGAATAAAGCCTCCTGTCAACCGTAGCAGAGAGCCTACCTCACTGCTTTCTAGGCCACTTAAGCCAGCTAGTGGACCAAGTTTGCAAGTAGCAGCAACTACCAAGAGAATGTCAATTAGTGCCAGCCGCGTCAAATCAGATTCTAAGGCTGCAGGAAATGTGAAAGGTAAAAAAGACTAATTTTCTTTATATTACCCTATTGAATCAATATGTAAACAATGAAGCCAATTTTAAGCCTGATTTGAATAGGCGCAGGGAAGGGAACTTCATTGCCAGATGCTTCCCATCAAGTTGATTCGCGAAAGCCTTTACCTAAAGCTCCGTCTTCATCCAAAATTTCTGCAGCTTCTTCAGTATTGAACAGAACCAAAACATACAGTTCACGCTCGTCATGTGACAGCTCTAGTAGCTCTGCATCTGAAAATGTCCGAAAATTTCAAATGGGTGTAATCAGAAAAAAGACGTTGGACAAGAATGTCAGTCTGCTACCTGGTGTCAAGAATAGAGCTTCAACTAACACTGTAGAAAAGGTGAAGTCTCAGAATAAGCAGTCCCATCTCTCAGACTATCTGAAGTCCAGATCGACACCTTCCTGTAGTATATCACCTGCAAGCTCTATTAGTGAATGGTCCACTGAGTCATGTTCTTCAACAGCTACAGTTAATCAAAAACATTTTGGCTTGAATCCTTGTCCCCCTACCTCTCATGATGTTGGTGCTGATAGCAATGTTTCTCAAAATCTGCTTAATCTATCTAGTGATAGAGCTTTGGGTGATCATGACAATCAAGTGCCAATATCTAGCCAATCTGCGATACAACCTTCAATAGGGAGTGCTGTGTCCAATCCTCATCCAGGCTCTGCTAAACCATCAGGTCTTCGAATGCCATCACCAAACATTGGTTTTTTTGATGGGGTCAGTTTTCTAACATTTGATAATTTTTCTTCAAGGTTCTCGAGCCTAGCCTGCTGCTGTTTTTGGGTTGTGAGAGAAGGGCGATTGGGTCTTATCTCATGCTGTCACAACTCAAAAGCCTGTAAAAAGCAGCAACTTGCTGGGTGGAGTTATCTGCTGAGTTATACCCAATTTGCTCTTGGATGTTTCCATAATTTAAAATACGTAGTATGCTTTATTAGTGTTAATCCTATCTGCATGTATTGTCCATACTTTGCAATAATGAGGAATGTCTTGTACAGGCAAAAGCTGGTGGTAAGACTCCTAGTAGCAGTTCACAACCTCGTTCTGCCTTGCCCAGCAGCCTTCCTAGATCAGCAGCAGGAACACCCAAAACTTCTGGGGCGACAAACAAAACAAGACTTGGCTTTGGCACTAGTGCTTCTAAAATAACAGAATCTGCTGCTGCAACTGCCAAGCCTAAAGAACAAATCATTGATGCAAACCTTAAAACAGATGCAGCAAGGACTCCTTTGACAGTAAAGAATAGGGTATCTAATGTGGTTGAGGTAAGCACCTCGCCACCTGGATCAGGCATCGAATCATTTTCAAAGGGTGACGCAGTGCCTTCTCTAGAGATAACTCAAAAGGGAAGTAGCTGACACTTTTGTGAAATGCAATATACCGTTCCAAGGTAAATTATGTATGGGCAAGTGAATAGTACACTGCCATGAACATATTCAAAGAGAATTTATACATTTGTGGTATAGATCGGATGATATATTACCATTTTAAGAAGTTTGGATAAGTAAATATTTGAGTGACTAGTAGATTCAGGGTAGAAGAATCTATGTCAACTACTTGGAAGCATAGGTATTCATATACTGTCAAATAGTCGTCAGCCATATTTCCCTCCGGACTCTTATTTTGCTGCACAACTGCTAGGAACTGGCATGATTACAGCACTAAAAAATGGCAGAAAATAAGAAGAAAAATGGTGATTATATTGATAAGATGAGACTTACACTAATTTGAATGATAATTCCACTTTCGAGAGGTGGATTCTCTCCAAGTATGAGCTTTCGAGAGGCTCACTCTTTCCTAATAACAAACCTCACAATATTCAACATATCCTCTTTCCTCCTAATGACGCCTATTTCTAGAAAATCCCTCATAACAAATCTCTAGCTTATTTCCTAAGTTACTACTAATAGACTATGACTAACATGCCCTCTAAATATTGATTCCTTGCATTACCCGCTGCCCAAACTTTCACCTTGTCCTCAAGGTGGGTAGTAGTTGGCACTCGATTCCCGGCAGTGGCAATGATGAGTTGTGTCCAACTTGTCTTCACAATCGTAACCAAGGTCCTGCTTCCGTGAGGTTTTGAACTTGGCTGTGGAGAATTTATACTGTAATGGAAGTAAAGCATGGCGTTGGTGGTGTTGGTCTTAGATTTGTAAGGGCGTGGATTGAGAGAGTTATTAATGGATATCTGTTCAAAAGCTCTGTAGCAGTCATCAGGTAGTAGATTCTGAAATATATGCACAGAGATTGAGTAATGGGGACTAGGCGACTGATTTGTGCATATAAGCCTTGTGTTAATAAAGCTAGATATTGGTCTTCCATCATATATTTTACGTGGGTTGGAGGGACATGAGGAAATATTAAATGTGAGGAGTGGGGTAAAATATTAAATGTGAGGAGTGGGGTTGAAAAGCTGGGTATGAGAGAATGGGTTGGGAGCTAGAAGTGTCAGAAATGGGCCTTGTCCCGTTCACAAAAATTGGGTCCATTTCCTCCCTTTTCCCCTCTTCAGCAACCAACTTAACCTTTTGGTATGAAAAGAAAGACCCACAAACTCTTACCTCAGCTATTATGTCATTATTTCGGCAAATGACACAAATACCCTTACTAACTCCTTCTGGAATTAACCTTCCTTCCAAGTCAACAAAGGATTCATTGTGGCTTCTCCCATACTTCATTGTTTCTGGAATGTTCTGCAGCAAGTTCCACGGTTCCATGCCACCCAAAAAATCACCAACACCGGATCCACAACATCTGGCATCACCTCTCTCAATTATTCCACCAGACCACCTACAAAACCACCAGTCTTATTTCTCGACACACTACTCTCAAATTACCGATAACACCACCCGCGAAAGGCACACCACCAGTTTCGCTAGTGCGATCACCTCGACCTCACCGGTAAATCCACCTGCAAAATCACCACGTCTTCCACCTACCCATGGCAGTGGGAAGTCATTCCTGCCACCAGTAGCTTTGTATTCTCTGCCAACAAAGCCACACCAACCATTAGGACCACCGTGTGAGCCTCCTCCAAAATTACTGAGAATGTAATTGCCTATTGTACTTTTTAGATCTTTCAGCTCCACCTCCTTCGATGTCTTTGGCCTGATTGAGGTTGTCACCATGTGAGGGTTGAATATGCCTCCTTCACCCAACTCCTCGCCGGCATGTTTGTTCTTTGGCACTTCCCCTATCCAATCTGCTTGGTTCTCTTCTTTCTCAAGCTCCTCTTTCTTTTCCTTCAATTCCAGTTGTATGGAAGAGAAGATCGGAGAGAAAGCATTATCAATGATTTCCACCTGATCTCTTTGAAGGTTATCAAAAAATTTCTTCGTGGCCTCCTCCATCCTTTCAGAGAATTTCTTTGATATCTCCATCATTTCCTCCTTAAGTGGTGGTGACAGACTAGGAGCTCCGATAACCTTCATTTTTTTCGAGGGAGCCCCAATTTCTTATAGTGTGGTATTTTTGTAAATAAACCAACAATTTTATTCAACTTTATTTAATTGCGAAGCCCACAATAATGAAAAAGTTGTAAATTTATTCACGAAAACGCGCCCATGAGAAACAAATTTCGTTTCTCACTATGAGAAACAGGAATTTCTCATTTTTTTCTTGAAAAATGAATTTCAATGGCTCAATCTACCAAAGACTATACTGCTCTGATATCATTTAATTTGTTAGGAACTGACATAATTACAGCACTAAAAATGGCAGAAAATAAGAAGAAAAATGGTGATTATAGTGATAAGATGAGAATTACACTAATTCGAATGATAATTCCACTTTCGAGAGGTGGGTATTCTTCAAATATGAGCTTTCGAGAGGCTCATTCTCTCCCAATAACAAACCTCACAATATTTAACATATGTATATATATATATATATATATATATATATATATATATATATATATTTTCCTAATGAAGTCTATTTATAGAAAATTCCTCCTAACAAACCTCTAGCTTATTCCCCAAGTTACTACTAATAGACTATGACTAACATGCTCTCTCCAAATATTGATTTCATGCAACAACCACCACAACCTCAAGATAGGCGCTCCCCATGCCAACATTGCATCTACCTGTGCTACTTACAGTCACATATCAGCTTCAACTGAACCTAACTCTGCAACTATGCAAACAAGTCAACTTGGAAGTGATGATGGCTGGTGGGGGAGTGTTATCAAATGTAGGAAGAAAAGATTAAAACTACACTGACTGATAACAGATATTTACTAAATTATTAAACATATAATTAATTATATAATCTATTTTTCATTATCAAAGGGATAAAATCCCTAATACTTGTGGTTCATATCAAAAAATAAGTTTTCATTCTTAAAAATAAAATAAACCCTCAAATTATTAGGGTTTTTATTTTTTAAGTGTCAATGAATTGAATTTTCAAATTTTCATTTGTAATGTTGCTCCTGCGCAATTAATTTATTTTACTTAATATATAATTGGTTAATTTTAATAATAGTTTATGTGGCACTCCACATGCTACTGAAAAAAATTCTCGTTTTATTTGTATCAATCAAGAATAGTGGTTAACAATGGGTATATGGAGTTAGTATTTATTATGTACTCATTAATTAGGATACGAATGAAATTTATTTAAGTTTTATTCGTATTGTATCAATTAAGGATAATGATTATCGATGGGTATGGTCCGTATGAAGTTAGTATTTATTTTGGAGTATGTACTCATTAATTAGGACACGCATGAAATTTATTTCGTACTCCCTCCGTCTCATATTATAATTCCTATTTTCCTATTTTGGAGAACCAAATATTGTTCCTATTTCTATAATTGGATAGAATATAAAGACCATTATACCCTCATTTTTTTTAACTTTATTCATTATACTTCTTAAATTACCCATAAATTTTCCACTAGCTTTGTACTTTTTCCCATTTTCTCTCTTTAACTTTTGTCTATAATTGTACTTTTCACCCTTTTTATGTACTTCATTCACTTTCCCCTCTCTAACTTTTGTCTACAATTGTACTTTGCACTTTTTTTCATGTACTTCATCCACTTTCTCCTCTAATTTCTTAAATACCATGAAAAAAAACACAAATAAGAACTATATATTAGGATGGAGGGAGTAAGTTTTATTTGTACCAATCATGGATAATGATTAACAATGGGTATGAAATATTTAGGGAGAGACTCAATTTTTATATTACGATTCATTCCAAATTTTGAACAATGGGTCCCTTTTATATCTTTTAGTCATTCAAACTCGAACATTGTACCTTGATATAGATTGAAACGCCACCTTATAGTTTAAACTTAATTGTTTCGTATAAGAAAATTATAAACAAACAATTGTCTCATCATTATTCACACTTATATTTATACATATATATGACAAATGATGATTGATTATTGATAATCATATTTGTTTCTTTACATTTGACATTATACATAAGTGACTTGTTTCTTATACAAGATTTTTTTTTACAAAATTCTCTTACATAAGTGGTACAATTCAACTCATGCAACTACCGTGTATTCGTTGTCTTTTACGTCATAACATAATTATATACTTTTATTTTATAATAGTGGAATATCTTAGGTTATTTATTCAATGATCAATGTAACGTGTTTAGGGTAAAAATACACCTAGGACATGTGACCCTATAAAGGCTTGCCACGTGTCAAGCTTGTAACGATCAGCAAGGGCTCAATCCCTTTGCGACACGTGTCATTGTACCCTAAATTGAGATACAGCTCTCCCCTACTATAAATAGTAGGGGCAGACCTCATTTATGAGGATCGATAATTTTTCCAACAACCAACCAAACACAGAAACCCATTGCAAATGCTCTCCAATCGAGAAGCATTTATTGTTCTTATTTCCTCTTCAGAAAGGTTCTAACTTAATCTTCGGAGGCGGAACTCCCACCCCCCAACCGGAGTCTCCGTTATTTGTGTAGGTACAGGCGAAGGAAAGAGCATACTAGGAAATTGTAACCCTCCCGTAGGACACATAAAAAACCCCCAAACATCTGGCGCCGTCTGTGGGGAGAGTACTTTCTAGATGACTTCAGAACCTGTACTACCGGGTAAAGATAATCAGCCTGCTGTTGAGGCTGAGGTCCACTCGGACAAAGATACAACCGACAATTATGAGGTGGAAACTTACACAGCTGCCGACAGTTCTTTTAATACCAAGCATACTCGTTCCAAAGACAAAAGGGAACGGGCAGAGCAGCTGGCATGCCAAAGCCATCCCACCAGGGGACCGCTTGGGTTAACTCCTGCTTCAGAAGGAGCCACTCCAGTCTCCAGGGATGAACTCATAAGTATGATGATGAGTTTTAAAGGGGAAATCAAAAGCCTTCTGGACAACTCAGCCGACCCCCGCAAGGGTCAGGCGGAAGAGAGGCGTCTTGGAAATAAGACGGCCAAGACAGTGAAAAGTAGAGCGTCTACCCCACACCCGAAGTCAAAGGTGCCGGATAGGCCCATTGATTTCTCAAAAATTCACA